GCAATTGATTAATAAGACTATAAAGCCAGAAGAGATTTTTAAAAATTATGACTCAAATATGATGCTTGACAGAAAGATAAAACATTTTATTAACTATGTGTATACCAAATATTTATCTGATGAAAACAAAATGTCCTGGATAAAGTACCTGCGAACTTTTTTGTCTGCAATTCTTTTACTTCGCCTTGGCGCACCTGCAGTGATCAAATGGTTTCCACCACTGGGTACAGGAGAGAGTGAACTCTGAGATGACCCTTCTGAGTTTGTATCGATGTGAACTACGAAAATAACCACATGTAATATACCACGCATACCTATTTTCCTTTTAAAGTATAAAATAGTAATAGCTGCAATTAGATTCAAAGCCTTAATTTCTATACCAAGCAACAACTGAAATCACTTAATTTCTAGTTAGAAACTTCAAGTGTCAAATAACCCAACTCAGCTAAGAAAAAGCATTCATTTCTTACTTTTGACTTGCCAATTAAAGGTCAGATTAAGCATTACTTTTATATTAGAACTTTTATTTAAAATCTTTTAATAATACAAAGCAGGGATAGGCACCATTGCAGACTGGAAAAAAACAAGATTTGGAGACAGGCTTGAGTTTGCTCCATCACTTACTAAATGGCTTTAGGCTCTGAAAATGGACTTCTATGATGAATATTACTGTTATCTATATAAAATAGTAAGTATCTAGTACATAATACTAATTAATGGTATTATAAAAAATAAGCTATTGGCAAACAAGTTGGAATCTGAATATTTGAGATACACCTGCTGGCCAACTGCTACCCACCTGACTCCAGAATGTAATTTGTTCAATATTTTTGGCAAGTAAACAAAAACTAATTATTCTATAACATGTCTAATCACTTGGCTGCTGCTGTGTTCCATTCAAATAATTATTGGTACAACAGAAGCTCGATTTAATTATTTAACACCATTTATATTATGAAATCAACTACAGTAAACAATTATGAAAGAAGTAAAATAGTTATGAACAAAGGCTCCATATACACTTGACTTATGTTTGAATCGTACCCAGGACACATTCAACAAACATGAACCCTCTCAATTCATCTGAGTTATTAATAAAGAATTCACAAAATTCCCCAAACAGACACATTCACATTTTTTCAATTATGAAAACAGAAAAAATACGACCATCATAGTAACTTTTGGGTACATTTAGCGAAAGAAAATTTTGGAAGCCAATATTATACATCTAAAGTGACATAAGTAGCTTTATTCTAGGGCTGCAGTCTAGTCACTTCAAAAATGTGTCCAGCCAGGCACAGTGGCTCCACTTCTGTAATCCCAGTATTTTGGGAGGCTGAGGTGGGCGGATTACTTGAGGCCAGGAGTTCAAACTAGCCTGGCCAACACGGTGAAATCCTGTCTCTACTAAAAATACAAAAATTAGCTGGGCGTGGTGGTGCATGCCTGTAATCCCAACTACTCGGGAGGCTGAGGCACAAGAATTGCTTGAACGTGGGAGGTGGACGTTGTAGTGAGCCAAGATCATGCCACTGTACTCCAGTCTGGGAGACAGAGCGAGACTCCGTCTCAAAAAATAAAAATAAAAAATGTGTCAATGGTCGCAGGAGACACAGTCAGAATACATGGAACAATGCAAATTTATCACATATATAAGAAAATTATGGCCAGGCGTGGTGACTCACACCTGTAATCCCAGCACTTTGGAAGACCAAGGCAGGTGGATCAGCTGATGTCATGAGTTCAAGACCAGCCTGGCCTTATGTGGTACAACCCTGTCTCTACTAAAAATACAAAAGAAAATCAGCCAGGTGTGGTGGCGGGCACCTATAATCCCAGCTACTTAGGAGGCTGAGGCTGGAGAATTGCTTGAACCTGGGAGGTGG